AGACACTGATGACACTTCACTGACCCCTAACCCAGAAGTGTGAGGCTTAGTTTTTGGGAATCACCTGGGAGTTGTAGGGATGGGGGGAGCAAGGGAGAGGGTCACCACACATCAATGTGAAGCCACCTTAGCTCTCATTAGTCCAACCCCATCCAGCCATCAAAGGGAGAAACAGGCAGAAAGGGAAAGTGACTTTATCCAAGCAACAGAGCTCGTTAGAATCAGGAGGAGGAGGGGTGGGCGTGGAGGGCAGCCAGATATTGGAGCGCAGGGTGGTGAGGCTGGAGCACCTGCAAAGTGCTCTCCTGACGTAGAGGAACCCTCCTGCTCCTCCCGGCCAGGCGGGAAAGGGACAGGGGTGTCCACAGCACTCCCTGCACAGCAGGCCTCCTGTAACCTCCCCCAGTGCCATGGCCTGTGTCAGTCTGGCACCCTGCTCTGGTCAAATGCTTGTCCCTGCAGTCCCCACTGAAGGCTGTTTGCTCTCTGTCTCATGTGCAGTACACCCTCAAGTGTTTTTACTCTCTTCAGCCACTGGCAATGCCGAATAATAGCTGGTTTAATTAACTAATTTAATTAATTTAAAAGAGCAGCTTAAAGAAATGAAATGAGCCTTTTAGTTAAGGCCTGCTAAAAGGCACAATGTTACTGCAAATCCACAACTTGCCGCACACTGTGCTTTTCATATATGCTCTTTTCTTTTTTCTTTTTTTTCTTTTTAATTTGGGAGAGAGAGGAAGGGGGGTGGAGAGAGAGACAGAGAGAGAGAGACATTGACTTGTTGTTCCACTTATTTATGCATTCATGGGTTGCATCTTGTATGTGCCCTGATCTGGAATCAAACCCACAAACTTGTGTCATCCCATGGGGATGACACTCTAACCAACTGAGCTACCCAGTCAGGGCTGCTCTTTTCAAAACAGCATTTGAAGACAGTCTTCTTCAGAAGAGAAATGCACATTCAACTAAAATTATTTTTTGAAATTCGACTATTTTGAATTAGTGTTGAAGAGAAGTTCTATAAAACCCACAGGAAATAAAAGAGCATTAAAATGAACAATTACTTAGAGATGGAGAGATGCAGTAATAATTAATATCGCCTGAGCTCATGGCTCCTGTGTGATCTGCAGAAATTGCTTGACAGAGCAAGGATTTGTAGAACCATTTCAACAGGAGAAAATAGTCTCTCATTAGGCTAAAGGGAGATGATGGATGATGGAAGATCAATTTTCATTACAGCTCATCTCTGATTGTAATAATACCGTGCGTCTTCTCCAAATTACAGAGAAGTAAATTCATACTCTAAATGACACCAAAACGCTGAGTCAATTCAGGGTTTTAAAAAATTCATCAAAATTGTTTGTCTCCATAGAGAGATCCAGCTACAAAAACCTAGATTGTACTTATGAAGCATTTTATAGGTTAAAAATAGCATACACTTAACTATAAATATGGTGTCTAAATGCAAAATATTTATTTCTTTAACATTTGCTACTTAAAGGTAATTTCTAAGGCATCTAGAATGAGATAAAGTTTGTTCAATAAAGAAAAAAAAAAGACTTCCTGCAAGTGCCCACTTTTAGCATTCCAAATATTCTCTCTTGTTCTATATTGCCCAGCCACACTGACTTGTTTTCTTGAAATTCTCACCTTGAGTATTATATTACACAACTATTTGTTTATTTTCCTCTTGTGTGACTCAGCTACTAGAATGCAAGCAAGGATTTTATTTTTTTAATGCTGTGTTCCCAGTACCAAGGTGAGTCCCTGGACATAATTGGTGCTCAGTGAATAATTATTAAATAAGGAATAATTCTCTTACCTTTTGTTCCCTTATATCTTCTAAATGTCCTATGCATTTTTATAATGCATGTTGTAAGAGGAAATATAAATAATAAATTAATTTAGAAGTAACAGAATCCAATATGGATCATTATATGATGAGCTCCGAAGTCGCTGACTCTTGTCCACTATCTGTCTGCTTTTGGTTCCTCTCCAGTGCCTTCAGGTAGTTGGTGTTTATAGTTTTCCTATAGTTTATAGTTGTGATTTGTGAGAGGGTTGGCCTTATAGGAACTACACTGCCATTTTCAGAAATGATATCTGGTATCAAATTTCCAGGGTTTAGAAAGTAGTCTACAGGAGTGCTGAGAATGGACTGGGGGTGACACTAAGGACAGAGGGAGCCAGCAGGGTGTTATGGTAGGATGTCCAGGGGAACGGTGGTGAGGGTTCATAGCAGCTGCAATTTGATGAAAAGGAAAGTCCATATTTGAGAGTTCTAGACTCTGAAATTCCAACTGTTCAGGAAAAATGACCAGCAATTGAGTCTGGACTAAAATGTCAAGAGTTTCTGGTTAGAGATGCAGGTTCTGGCAAGAGCTGATGGGATGAGCTTAGGCCTTATTTTCCCAGGAGAGAATAGGATGTGTGAGAAGGGAGGTTGACCAGGAGCCGAACCCTGGGGCAGAGGCAAAGAGTGACTGGTCAGCAAGGTGGCAAAGGAGAATCAGAGAAGTAGGAGAAACAGGGAATTTGTGGTGGTAATGCTGAGAGCAGAGTTGCAAAAGGAGAGTTGGTTAGTAACATCAAATGCCTCAGGTTAACCTGGGAAACCGATGCCCAGAGAGCTCCCATTGGACCTGGCAATTGGGAATGTGATGACTGATGTCAATCAGCGTTGGCTGCCCTGTGGGAGCAGTTTGAATGGAGGGTGGAGAAGCCAGGTTGAGCAGGGTTAAAAAGTGAGTAGGAACTGAGGAAGTGCAGTTGTCCTGCATCTGTAGATGCCTTCAAAGCATTTCACCAGATTTTCCTTGTCTTTTTGCTACATGCAAATTTCATCTCACGCACCATATAATTTTTTAAAGTGAAATTATATTAAGCCATTTTTTGTCCCACTTTTGTGTGAGTATCCTTGAAAAAGCTACCATCTGGTTATGTTGTCAAAAGCATTTAGAAGCAATCAGTTGGTAAAAAGATTAAAATGTGTCAGACACTTTCAATAGCATCCATTAATAACTTTCTTCTCAAAATATTTTATAATTTTACCTCCTAAAACAGAATCATCTTTGTTAAATCACACTCGAAGTTAGTTGGGATCCCAGGCTGCCAATTACTAACTATAAGGCCCTAATCTGCCTGAGCCTCAATTTCCTGGCAGAGATAATATAATGATAACAATGGCAGCGACAGCTAAGCATTTATAGAATGCTTACTATTTGCCATGTACTGTTCTTGGCTCTTTATGTATAATAAATAATTTAATTATTCTTACAACTCAACTAGGGACTATTATTATCTGCACTTAAGAAAACTGATGTACAGAGAGGTTAACAAACTTTCCTAAGCTCCCAGAGCTAATAAGTGGTAGAGCCAGGATTTGAACACACAAACAAGAAACACATTAAACGGCAACTGACACTGTTATTATCACATTTATTCATTCACTCAACAAATATTTACTGAGTACACATTCTAAGGCAGTCATTGTAGAAGGACCTGGGTCTATAGTAGAGAATAAAAACCTTGTCTTTGTTCTAAAAAATTCTAACTTAATCAGGGAAACCAGCAATTAAAGGATGAACAAACATAAATATGTAATTGTAACTCACCATAAGTGCTTGAAGAAAACAAACAAGATGTAGTAATAAACAGTGATGGGGGATTGCTTAATCCTGGGTGGTAAGGAAGGCTTCTCTAAGAAGGTAGACATTTAAATGGACATGTGGCTGATAGAAACGTTCCAACCATAGGGGGTGTTAGGGAAACCATGTATCAGGCACAAAAATATGCACTGTGAAGGCTCCAAAAGTGGAAGACTTGGGGCAAGGGGCAGTTGGGCAAAAAGAAAATTGAGATAAACAAAGGTTGGAGACATGGACAGGTGGCCAGATCATGCAAGGTCTTGCAGGCCATGGGAAGGAGTTGGAACTTTACTCAGAATATAATGTAAAGTCCTTGAAAGATGTGAATCAGAGATTTAGCATGGTTCAGGTTACATTTTTAAAAGATTACGCTGGTGTGATGTGGAGAATATTGGGGAAAGGGGAGGAGTTGGAGATCTATTAGGAAACTGCTAAATTAGTTCAAATGAGAGACAATGATATCTTGGATTGGGGTGTGGCTGGGAAGATGGGGATCCCCAGCGCAGAAGGCAAGAGGCCCTCACTGCCAGCTGAAGTTGCACCAGTGAAGAGCTGGTAGAATCTTGCAAGTAACTGGTCACCACAGAGAGGCTACAGTAAGAAGTGAGGCCAAGATGACTTGAAATTCTGCACAGGAAATATCTAGCACAGTGTCTCCTTTATCTTAAGGACAGTTTATATCTAAAAATTCTCTAGCAGACTTCCTTTAAATCCCACTGACCACCTCTTGGTGGAGGCTAAGAACATGAGTTCCCAGCAATGGAGCTGAGATTGCTAGGACCAATCCTGGTTCCACCCCTGGTCTGGGCACACTGTCCTTGAGCAAAATCAAGGCTCTGTGGGCTAAGGAGGAGGCAGGGCATGGCTACTGGCTGGACAGCCAACACGACCTGCCTCAGACAGGTTGGGGAGAAAAACATAAGAACTCTGATTTAGAAGTGATAAGTTTCAAAACATCTGAGTAAGGGTGTCAATTAGACTATTGAATATACAAGACTGAAATTCAAAAGAGAAGTCTGAGCCTGAATGGGTTTTTTAAAGTTTAATATCCTGTTTATAATGTGCTGAGTTGCTGAGGGCACCAAAGATCTTAGAAATTGTTGAGAATATAAATGGGAATTCAAGTGGGGCACAAGTAACCATGAGGGCTTTAGTGAGTATATCAGGATTCAGTTTTACAACGTGGAGACGTGATTAACCTCGCAGCCGGTGGATCCCAGAACAGCTGAGAAGGAAGGAGGGAGAGAACATATGGCCCAGCAGTTGGGAACCATCAATCGCATCAGCCCAGCTGCCTGGGGCCCTTCAAATGCAGAGTGTTTAATTGGGAAGGCTTGGATCTTACTGAGGGACCAGGGTATCCATGGGAACGTGAAAGCAGTGAGACCAGGATTAAGACTTTGGACAAAGGAGAGAACAAGAAAACTCTTCCATCTGGGAAGACAGAAAACTCAGCGTGGCGCAGAGGAGCCAAGCACTCCCAGGGCGTGATAACAGGTAGGGCTGGCGTGGAGTTCGAGAGACCTGGCTCTGACCTTGGAATAGTTCCTTACCCTCTTTGAATTCCAGTTCCTTCATTTCTAAAACACTGGCTGTGCCTCCTCTGGAGGCTTATGATGAGGAAATGAGATAATGCAAGGAAGGAGACCGGTGGTGTCTCTCCATAAGGCAAGTATTTGCTTAGAGTTGTAATAATGTAACACCCAATAGATGGGGGAAATTTTGAATGTCCAACAACAGAGTGACCCACTAAATCACAGAGCAACTGCGTAACAGATGGTTATGTAATCATTTATAATTATGTCGTAAAGAGCATAACTGGGGAATTATTTACCATACTAAGTTATATGAACAGAGTAGGATATAAAGTGCATGTAAGTATGATTTTTAAAAAGACAATATATACACCCAAATGTTAATGGTAGTTGAGAGATCGGAGGAGATTTTGGGTTCATTTTTACAAAAACAAGAAACATACAAATTTTTGTCACTTTTTTGTAAGAATGAATTGCTCTTATAGAACATGGAAATTTAATTGGAGGTAATAAATTGTGGGTGTTTTCATGTCACTGTGGTTGTCACCCTTATTAGTGTATTGTTCTTATTTGCTGCCCTTCAAATCCACCTCTGGCTTAGCCCCTGGGAAAATGGCAACACTCCAGAGGAACCTGAAAATGTGCGCCTGGAAGAATCAGAAGGATTTTTCTTCATTTAATTCTGCTGGTATTGACTGCCTGGGTGTGCCTCATCCTGACAGGAAGCATGTGTCACTAGAAAAGAATTTAATTCTTTGCAACAAAATTTAGGGGAGAGAGAAAAAATACCCATGCATGTTTCTCACGGATTCTGCTTGATGGTGTCAGCCCAGCTCCGGCCAGGGGCCACTCTGCTACAGCTGGGCAGGGCTGTGCTGTAGGGACCTCCCTCAGTCACCGAGCTCTAACCTTGGCTTTGTCCCTTGGAAGAACCTCGTGAGTTTTGCAACTGTAAAAGCTTTTGTATCACCCCTTTCCCCCTAGAAACTGAGCCCCTTTGGGGTCTGGGACTGTGCTTCATTCCTTTCTATAATCATAGGGCCTAGGCTCAATTAATGTCTGTTGACTAAGCAACAAAGTTGTATTAAGTGGCTTTTTAAATGTCCCATCCAGTGTTGGCAATTAAATTTGTGAACAGGGCTCTCCAGGATGTATTTACACATGGTGTTTTATTTCCAGAGAAAAACAGTCTAAAACAAATATGGGGAAATGTCAAGATAGATAAATCTGGATGCTGAGCACATGAATGGACCCACATAATATCCATTTTAATCTCTTTGATTCTTGCTTCCCTCATCTGCATAATAATAGCAATCTCACGGAGTTGTTTTGTGCCTTGAAAGAGCATTTTGTAAAGTGCTTTAGCACATTTGTCTACTCGTTAAATGTTCATTTCCTTTCAGCAAAGGGGGTGAAAGGTAGCCCTCATTAATTGGTTTTTTAATTCTGATGCTAACATTGGACTATTTGATTTGAAGAAGCTGACCACCGTCTTCTGGCTGCCATCCCATAGAGGCTGTATCCGATAATGATAGATTTTTCAATGGAGAAAAGATCAGCTCCCATTAGGGCAGACATGACATTGACCTCAGCCAATTTCCCATCTGATGTTGAAAGCCTTCTATGGCCATTTATGAAAGTGTAATTAACTGCCCATTCATTTACCGAACACCACCATGTGTTAGGCATTGTACCAGGCACTGGATATTCTGGGATGAAAAGGCATAATCTCTGGCCACAAAGAATGGACTGTCCAGTAGAAGAGACAGAGGCAGAAACAAACTGTTACAATATAGTGCCCTGAATACTGGATGAACTGCCCAGGGCAAGAAGTGTAACATCCACCTACACTCAGCCATGAAATGCAGCTATTTCGTATTAGTAATGAGGCCCATGGTCCTCCTATACCTCTGAAGTTTAAGAAAATTAAGAAGATCTTGTTCACTGAAAATAAAAAGGCATCATCTTCACAAAGGATGATCTCATTTGTGTAGGAAATAAAATAAAGCTAAATGTGTGGGTGATATATGCAAAAATAAATACAAATGCAGAGAGAGAGAGTTCAGGAAGGGACGCCACTGTCAAAGGGTTTACTCGGAAGGAGGAGAAGGTGATAGGAGGGTGGGAAGAGGGATGTTCTCTTATTACCCATGTATTTCTGTATTATGTGAAGTTTTTAACATTAAGGATGTAGTCATATATTGTTAATGTTATAATTGCATTATTACATAGGCATAGAAAATGGAAGGAAAGAGCCTTCCCCCAGATGTCCACATGGTGTGCTCCCTCACCTACCTCAGGTTCAGACATCGCTTTTTTGGGGGGGTCCAAAACAAACCACCTCAAGATGTGCCTCTATGGTATTCAGATACTTTGAGCTAAAGGCAATTTGAGCTTCAAGCTCAAGAGAAACTTCTGCCCCCACTCCTTAACTACCTAGAAAAATTTGAATTAAAGGCCTTGCCCATGATAAGAGATTATCAGAGATCACTTCTTTTGGCCTATCTATAGGGCAGGGCACACTTCTGTTTACTAAATGTTTGTTTTTCTTATCACCTTGCAATGACCCTTTGATGCCCCCAAGGGCTTCCTACCTCAGGATGTCTTATATACCTAGGTCCCCCTTTCTATATGTGAACCTCTCATGTATCTGGGGTCTCTGACTCTCTCATGTATATGAGGTTCCCAGGAGCACGATATTAAATTTGATTTTCCACTGGCAATCTGCCTCCTGTTGATTTAATTATTCAGCAAGCCAAAAGAACCAGAGGAAGGGAAGGAGGAACATTCCTTTTAAATATCCTACTTTACTACCTCACCACCATTCAAATCTCTGTCCCCTTCTCTGGTTTATTTACCTCAGAACACTTACCACAACCTGACATTCCATATGTTTTACTTTTTAAAAATTGCTTGCCTGTCTCCCCAGCTGGAACATAAGCTCTGGGAGAGCCGAGGTTGGCGTGTGCTGTTTCACAACTGGAAACACATGGCAGGTGCCCCACAGGCCGACTTCTGACCCTAGGCAGCAATAAGTTAACAGCGATGATTTCTGAACGGAGGTATTACAGATCTTTCCATTTTCTTCTCTCTGCTACTTGCCATCTGAATCATTGTAATGAGCTTATATTGATATTACCTAAGAAAACAATAAAGCTCTTTTAATTAAAAAACAAAAAAAGTTGCCCTGGCCGGTGTGCTCAGTGGTTGGAGCGCTGGCCCTGGGACCAAAGGGTTGCAGGTTCGGTTTCCAGTAAAGAGCGCGTAGTTGGGTTGTGGGTTCAAGCCCTGGCCCAAGTCGGGCGTGTGTGGGAGGCAGGCGGTCAATGTGTCCCTCTCGAATTGATGTTTATTTCTCTCTTTCTCTCTCTCTTTCCCTCCTCGCCTCCTCCCTCTCTCTCATTCTCTCTAAAAATCAATGGAAAAAATATCCTCAGGTGAGGATTAACCAAAAAAAAAAGGGTTACCTGGGAAGCAAGAAAAGGAGACTCCACTAGAAGCCACCATGGGCCAGGAAGGCCTGGTGGAATCCGACCAAGAAGGAGGGGGGACTTCATGAGACACCTGGTGGAGCAGGACAAGGTCCTTCCCTACAACTGCTCTGCTGCCTGGTTCTTCCCAGACACTGGAATAAACCCCTGGTCTAGGGGTCACTGGCTCACAAAGGATCTCCTGCCCTGAGCTCCCCACTCCCCGAACAACAAGGGCCAGAAACATATTCTTGTCCTTCTGTCCCTAAAGTTTTTTTTAATCTAGTTCCTACTTAGGTTTCAGCCAATTCTTTGCTGAAGCAACTTGGCTTCTTGTTTTCTCTGGGAACCAGACCCTTTTTAAGCCGAAGCCATAAAAGGGGTGGAATCCACTACCTGATACTTTTCTATCCAGCTATTCAAACCACGCCACCGACGGAGGCCCCGAGTGCCACACTCTCATTGTGGGCGACGGCATCTAAACCGAACACTTTGAATAAGGCACACGTGAAAGTGAATGCCGAGGGCTTTTTAAATTCTTTTTTCTTTCTCCATTTTTCCTCTATTCTTTGTCCAATCTAGAGCCATTGTCTTGAGTGAATGCCTGGAGAGACAGCTCAACCCTTGTCTTCAAGTGCCAGCCAAGGAGCAGTGGGGAAGGTGGTCACGTTGGTCCCAAAATTGAGGCACGTGAATTCTCATAATTGCTCTGCCACTAGCTTGCTACATGGTCTTAACCAAATCGTGTGATCTCTCTGTGCCTCGATTTCTTCATCTGCAAAATAAGGGTCTTCAAAGTGTTGCTGAAATCCCGGCCCAAATCAGTTTTTGTTTAACTGAGGATCAACAGTGACACCTTGTGGTGCCCCTTGAGAGATCTTCATTTTTTTAAAATTTTTAGCCCAGAGCCTAAGGCATTCATCCTGGAAAACCAAGCCTCCCTTCCCTACCCACCTACTCCATCAGCTTCACAACTTGTCAGATGCAGAAAAGTGCTTTTACCTTTTGCCCACAAGCTGTTTCCAAGCCTCAATCCTGCAGAAGCTGCTAAAACCAAGGTAAAAGTATAGGTCCCAGATCCCAGCGTGATGGCCTGTGGGGCAGTTCTAGGTTTGATGTGTCTTGTGGGGTTGGCCGTGCAGCTCTGGAGCGGGGCCTGGGAACAGCTAACGGGGTAGGACAGGAGATTTAATGGTTTCCCAGGGCTCCTCCTAATCTGTGAAATGATCGAACCAAACCGCTCAATCTTCTGTTTTCCTATTCATAGAATAAAGTTGCCACTCGAACTGCCTTCAAACTTATAGTTTATTCATTTATTTACTTATTCATTCATCAAATAGTGAGCATCTTCCTAGTGCCAAGTTCTGATCACCTACCTGGGCCAATGATACAACCTTGAGAAGACACAGTCCCTGTCCTACCCTGTTCTTGTGCAGTGGAGAAGAGAGACAGGAAAGCCTTTCATTACCGCGCAGTAAGATAAGCCTTAAGGCAGACAATGTGTACACAGAATGGCATGGGGCCCGGGGACAGACATCGAACTGGGCCTGGAAAGAGGCCTTTTGATAAAGGACGGAGCACTTAGATCTGGATTTCATAGAATGAGTGGAAGTTTGCAGAAGAGGCGCTCCAGGAACAAGGAACAGGGTGATTGTGGGCACGTGAACATGACCTACGTGCCCTATCTGAAAATCGAAAACCAAAGCCCTCTCAAATTCCAATTTTATTTTTCGATTACAGTTGACATTCACTATTATTTTATTAAGAAGCAAAACTCTCTTGACCCAACCCCATCTCCTTCTAGATATCACCCTATTCCTCAGCTTCCAATGAGGCCAAACTTTCTGAAAGAGCAAACTTCTCGGCACTGTCCTCGCTTCCCCACTTCTTATTCGAACTTCACCCCACCTGCCTTAGCTGCCACCCCTCAGTGACTAGGCAATGTCATCCTAATACCATGCCCAGCTGAGCCTTTTTTATTGTCATTATCTCACTCTCCACAGGGAGGCACTCTTCCCTTCTTGAAGTACTTTTCCCTCTTGGGCCCCAGGATCCCCATTCTGGTCCTTAGGCCCTAGTCCGCCATCTGCCCCCTCTCAGCCCCTACTCTACACACCATGAAATGTCAATGGTCTTTGGCGCTCAGGCTTCGACTTTCTTTTCATTTTCTTACCTAGAGAATCTCATTCATATCCATGGTTTTATTTTATGTATATATGTTTTTATTGATTTCAGAGAGAGGAGGGGAGAGGGAGAGAGAGATAGAAAGAGCAATGATGAGAGAGACAGAGAGAGTCATTGATCGGCTGCCTCCCCCCACC